CTGGCATTGTAACTTGGTGAGGCGCTGCTAGTCCGGCAGGTTGGCCGGCTTGCTCCTGTCTTCTTGGCATGCTGACGTGGCAGCTGCCATGCGCCTTCGCTGATGTGGCTGCTGCCATGTATTTCATGCTGACGTGGCTGCTGTCCACGTGTTCTATTGCGAGGACTACATGATCGACATTGCTGTTTTGTTTCGTCGTCACTTCAGGAGGAGATCAGGACTGTGGAGAGTTCGAGGATACGTATCTGATGGTCTTCATGTCGACATTGCTCCAGATGCTGATGTGGAACTGATTAGACGTGCCGCATGGCACATTGAGGATACTTAGATACTCGTTCATACTATTGATTGTTGATGTGGCAGTAGAGGAGGGAGCCCGAACCAGGAGTGGGCATTATACTTCCTCTCCTTTGTCTCTTCTCCCTCCCCTCTCTTCGTCTGTGTATGATTACCTCACCTCATTTTGTCTGGTTACGATTTGGACTATGTATAGCCGATGGACATTTATCTGGGCTTGCATTGTTGACAACTGTCTCATGATCTGGGTTCACTACAATATCCTAGATACATAATATAACTCAAACCCTAAACCCTTGCATAAACCCCGCCTTGACCTCACCAAAACCCCGCATTCCTGCTCTACACACACCCCTGTACCCAGCGAAGCCCTTGCCTCTTGAACCCCCCCCCTGTCTGATCCGCTCTTGCCTCCGCCTTGCCCCGTTCTCCCATCTGTCCTCCGCCACATCCTTGTCTCTCTTGTCCAACTTCTCTATGTGGCCCCTGCGGGTCGCCAACGATAATGGATCTAATGGCAAGCGCACGGGGACGATGGCATGCTGCAGCTCAGTACGAGGAGATAAGACAGCTGGTTGGCCAGCATGCTGTTCCCTTTGGCCGACACCTTGGACTCGCAGACTTCTAGAGCAGCACCCCTGACATGGACATCAAGATCAGTCTGCGACCTGCTATCCGGATCAGACCTCATCATCAGATTATGTACCGGACGCAACCTGCTACTGCGACAATCAAGCTGAAGTCCTCGCCGTCTACATCACAGAACTGCTGAAGACTGTTTCCTCATCGCCATTTCTGAGACACCCTCCAAGACCTTCCTCAAGACATTTCTTCACTTTTGACACTTTGTTATTGACCCGAGACGTTGTTTTCCCAGACCCCTCAGACACCCCAGCACTTGAACATTGAACAAACAATTTTTTTATTTTTTTTTTCTTTCTCCAACCCGACAACCTACAACCTTGTAGAACACCAATAGTACCTCCCTGTTACCTGTAGAACCTCAGTAAGATTACCCTATTACTTCAGCAGTGATTCCCTCATCCTTGTAGAACCTCAATAGGATACCCTGTTACTTGAACATTGATTCCCTCATCCCTGTAGAACCCCAATAGGATTACCCTGCTACTTGCATTACTCCCCCTTTCCTTTTCCGACCAGTGATCGGCCTCGTCCCGTCCTTCACAGTTGTTCATTGGGTCTTTGGCAGCTGGGACGTTGCCTTCCAGAGGGAGGGATAGTGTTACGGACTCAACCAGGGCTCGATCCTTGGTCCGCGGGTTACCACCCGCTAGGCTGCTATTCTTTTTTTTTTGGAGTCTCTGATCTCCAGTTCCTGACTGTTGGCGGCCGTTCTCAAATCCCGCCTCTGCCACTTTCGGATTTCGTACTTGGCGCCATCCGGCATTCTGGCGCCCAGGCTCAGACCTTCGATTTTCTGTTCAGCCCCAAGGCAATTGCACTTTTGCCCTCGGACTCAACTTGAGTCCAGTACTTGAAACCAGACTCAAGCTGAGTTCGGGGACTCAGTTTTCGGCCTCAGTGCTTGTGCTTAAGTGTGACTTGCTGCGACATTGTATACCGAACCAAGATTGCGACTTCGCGACTTTGCGACTTTGCAACTTTGCCACTTCGCCACTTTGTGTCCGTGTCCGTCGAGTCGTGTCGAGTCCGTGTCGAGTTGAGTGAGTGTGTGCTCTCACTCCCTCCCTCTCTCTTCCCCGACCCCACTGCTCTGCCTCAGCCCCGTCACAAAACAGAGGCCGCAAGTTCCATATGGGAAAGTCGCTGGCGAGAGGCTGGAGGCTGGCCTAGGCAGGCAATGTGGATATGTTGTTGCGTTGCTGCGCAAGTATCTGCATATGCGCTGCTGGCTGGGGCGCACGCGAGCGCTATGAGGCGAGAGGGGCACTGCAGGGCTGCGGGTGCACGGCAGCCATAGCTGGGCTGCAGGGGAGCATGCGGGTGATGGGCGAAGGTGGTCTTCGGGTAGGAGGCACATGAGTGGGTGGTCAAGGTCTGATGAGGGGAGGAGAGAGAACGTACTTGGTGTATGTGGGAGGTCGGCATTGGTGTTGACGTCATGTACATTGGTCCTCAACGTCATAGTGAACATGTAGCAAGAATGTAGATAGGCTAGATAGGCTCATTAAAGTAGGTTGGGCGCTGGGCACCAGACAAAGATGAGTGACATTGGATGTTGTGTTGGTGGGGCCTGAGGGTGATAACATTGGCACACGAGTTCACTGCTTTGCTCTTATTTGGATGGAATCTTGGTGCATTTGAGCTCTCTGCTTGGTACATGACTATCTGGACATCTGGGTGATTTTGCAACTTGGTTTCCTATCTATCGCTCTCGCTCGTATTCCTTGCAATTTGGTATCGGAGCTGGTTCGAGATCGCTATTACCTGGCGCTGGCGACATTGTTACTTGGTGTGCTGATGATGCTTGTACGGAGTAAGGATACATTGGCGCTGGCATGAGCAGCCACTCATGGTTAGAGGGAGTTGGCTGGAAGGCTGTGGCACAGTGTGGGAGTTGTGGCGACAACGAATGTATGTGTGATGATGAGAGCGTGTTGATGTGGCATTTTGGCTGAGGTGGCACTGCATTGCTCTGCGGGTGGTTTCGAGGCTATGACCGGTCATCGAAATGCACGTCAACTCAATTGGTGAGAAATTTGTGGTTGGGGGCAGCTATCTTCAGGTACATTGTTCCCTTACCTTTTCTTCCCACTCAATCTCTTCTTGTTGCGAGGAAGTGAGTCCAACTTGAGTGTCCTCTTTTGGTTAAGGAGTCGTGAGCGCTCTACCTTGAGAGTCGACATTCTTCCTGGTGGCGCATTTGGCAGGAGAGGGCAATGCCTTTGAAGGGCCCTGGTCGAAGCACAGGTCACGGTCACCATGGCAACCCATGAGAGTAGTACACGCAGGCCATGGTGCTTTGTCCTTTGAGCTCTTTGCTGCGCCAATAGAGGGAACGTGGACTGACCAGTCCTATGCAAGAAGCTTACCAGACCATGTATAAATATTTATGGCAGAGATTTGTTCTGAATACTAACTGTGATCGTCGTCATGTCCACGACGTTAATAATTCATGAGGACCTTGGGGGCTGCCATTAAACTGCCTCTTGATCAGCTAGATCAGTCGGATGGAAGGCTTGTTGCACGCGAGGATAAACAAAAGGCAGTGCTGGTCATAAGCGAGTTCCCGGGCACAGGGGTAGGCCTTTAATGCACACCTTAGACACCACTGCTTGATGACGCGGACAAGCATGTTGGATACAGGGGAAGGAAGGTTCCTATTGGTGCTCAACTACAATCACAACTAGCTAAGCGCCCACGGTGCGGGCGGTGCGGGCAATGCCCGCAAAAAAAAAAAAGAAGAACTTTAGACCCAAACCAACTGCTAAATTTCAGCACTATTAACGGATTCAAGAAATGGAACATGCATAGAGAGACAGAGAAAGGGAGAGAGAAAGAGAGAGAGAGAGAGGGAGACAGGAGGGAGAGAGATAGAGAGACACAGATAGAGAGGGACAAAGGAGTAAGAAAAGAAGAATGCGAAGAACAAAGAAAGAAGAACACCATTCAAGTCATGAACAACGTGCAAAATGATGAACGCACAATAATCACGAAGTACAATCCAACTCCATTTTATTAAAAGAAAATAAAATCATATTTATTTGCCCTCTCTCTCTCTCACTCTCTCTCTCTCTCTATCTTGAAACGGTATTCACCAGTTAGCAGTAGCTGCTGCAGATCCCAAGGTTCGATCCCTAGACCCCCAACCTTACCTGTGTACAGTACCTGTGTCGACCCCTAGAATTGAACCCGCGACCTGTGTATTTGTAATAGCTGATAGGTTGTCGTAGGGTCCATAGGTAGCATGGGTTCGATCTGTGAACCTGTCGGATAGGAGTCTTAGTCAGGTCTCGACACCGTAGCTGTAGTGTTCTCGAAAGGTCAAGGTTGTAGCTGCTACAGTCCAGAAGGGTCAGAGTCGTAGCTGCTACAGTCACGAAAGGCCACGTCTACGGCCTTCCGGAACGTCCGAGTAGTGGCCTTTCGTGAGTTGCCCAAGCAGAGGCAAGTGGTCAAGTGGTGAGGCAAGTGGGCAAGTGGGGGCAGTCTACCCTGCTGAGTCAACAGTCTCAGTCCCCAGTCAGTCAAGCAAGTACCGCACGGGACTGTGTGCACTTGGGGCAAGGGAAATGGGCCAGACCAACGACCTGCAGAAGTATAAATCAAGAGGCAGCGCCCAGCCATTCATTGATTCCTGCGTGAGCCATGCGGAAGCGCTGCCACAGCGACTTGTGCAAGGAGGTCTGCAGTGAGCCCGGAGGACGCAGTGGGCGAGAGAAGAGGAGTTAGCATAGCGATAGGTTAGAGGCAGCCATAGCTGCCATAGCTGTAGTTAGTGGGAAGAGTGTGTGTGCATGTGTGAGTGTTCAGAGTGACGTGTGTGGGATATCCAGGGTGATCCAGTGTGTGAACAGTGAGTTGTTTGGGCGCTAAGTCGCCATAGCCAGTTGAAAGAGAACTCGTATCTGGAAGCCATATCTCTGAGTCCTGAGTGGGCGCATGTCGCCAGTGTGCTGTGCTGCTGTTTACAGACATGAAAAGTGTGAATAAGACGAGTTTGATTGCATTGGTATCGGAGCTGGTACCCGCTATTCCATGTGCGCCGTCGTATGCAGGACCTGATGCGCCATAGCAGAGGTGGCCGCCGAAGGTAGTAGTCCGCCATAGCAGACCTGAGGTGGAAGAAGCCGCCGCGCACCTGCAAGAGAACCACGACAAAGAAGAAGACAGAGACACA